AACATAGTGAAACCCTATCTCTACTAAAACTACAAAAATTAGCTGGGCATGGTGGCACACGCCTGTAATCCCAGCTACTCAGGAGACTGAGGCAGGAGAATCGCTTGAACCCAGGAGGTGGAGTTGCAGTGAGCCAAGATCGCGCCATTGCACTCCAGTCTGGGCAACAGAGCTAGACTCCATCTCAAAAAAAAAAAAAAAAAAAAAGCTATTTTTTTTTAAAGACACATGGCCACTGGTACCTCCCACTATAGTAGTTGCTATTTAAGTCAATGCCAGATGCCCTTGATTTAGGGTTAGGGCAGAGCTCTAAATCAATGGTGTTTGGAGCTCCCTAGGGCTTCTTCAGTGGGCACAGCCCAAAAAGCCAGTCATGAGGCACCTTTAGCCCATCATGGATTGTTGGATATACATGAAATGAAATTCAGAGGGGCCTGGGGAGGTAGGAATAGAGTGGAAAGATTCAAGGAGGCCATGTCTCCCAAAACAGAGATGGAAAAGTCACAATGGGAAAGCCTGTTTTCCAGAGGTTTCCTGTCTCTACCCTTCATTCCTGCCATGCCCCCATGCCCTACCCCACTCCACTCCAAGTCAGCAGAATCTCCCCAAACATTGGGATTTTGAGTGGCATTCGTGGTGTCATCTGGGGACCTCATTGGTGGTGGCAGCAGCAGCAGGATCAGGGGAACATTGCTCCAACCATGAGAATTGCTATGTGTTTCTTGGGCTTAAAATAAATCACCCAGATGGTGAAGCAGCTTTTTACAACCCAGAGGCAACTGGAGATGCTGGAGGCTGGTTAATCTGCTTAGTATGCTGGAACCTGGGGAGGTCTTTAAAGTGACAAAATTGACTTAAGGTATCTTTAAAGGGCAAAGGACTTAATAACATGAGTCGATGAGGTCAACCATGAAGTGCTCTCGAGCTGCAGTGACTCGAGATGATGGTTGTTATTCATGAAGATTTCTTCCCTTACCTGCTGATTCAAGGTTTGCCCCTCATTTTAAAATTCTGTCAATTTGCCTTTGCTAGGCAGAAATTCTTGAGTCCTTTCATGGGGATCATTCAAATATTACAATTCATCAGACCCACCTATTGCTCTTTGACTTAAACAAGTCCCAGGAGAACAAAAGCCCTCAAAGAATATGGATATGTGCAGTGTGTGCTGATTGAATTATAAACAGGAAAAGGTTTCTGTGGGATGTATTTTTTAATGAGAACACATTGTTATAATCTGAGTATGTGGCATTCTTGCTTAATAGAAACATTTACAAGGACACATACACATTTATATCCAAACATCAAATGAAGTAGATATTTCAAATAACCAGTTTGCACAAGAAATAAAATATATTATACAAAACAGGGATTATATCCACAGTCATTAGTTCTCCTTTTCTACACAAAACAACAATAAATTAAATCACATTATATGCAAATAGTTGTACATTAGAATAATAAACTGTATGTAACTTGTGCAGCTTTTACTTTTACTTTTCTACCAGACTCATGGTAGGTTTATACTGTTTGGTAGTCCTGTATTTAAATTAACAATGAATAATGTGACCCAGAAAACCGAGGTCGCAGAATTGATCTGTCACAAGGTCTATCCCACATCCTCTTGGTTTCAATTATCCACCATGCACAGGGAACAAAGCTCAGATTCCCAGGACCCAACACAAAGGTCTGCAATGAACATGCTCACAGCAACTCCATGCTGTTCAGGGGCTACTTCATTGTCATCTTAGAAGACACTGAAGATTTTCAGATCTTGGCAATCAATAATAAAGAGGACACCTGTTTCCAAATCTGAATTTGCCTCTGTTTTAGCCATCTCTGTCCAACTATTATGCACTGTGACAGCTTTGTTCTCCTAGCAAATAAGAAATATTTTGGTAGCCTATGTTGTGATTTACACTTGGTAAGTGGCCCTTTATTCCTTGTGCGTAGAAATTTAGGTCTTTAAACATGAATCGAAGCAAAGAAGCATTTTTGCTAACACTTAATTCTGCTTGTTCAAATCTCTCCCCTACGTATCATCTCACACCTGATACATCAGAAAGCTATTATAAAATGGACTTTTACTTGTGAGACTTGATTCCCACTGAAACACTTTTGTTGTGTTTGAAGTAGCTTAAAACATGAACATTAACAGCATCAGCTGGTTTAGAATACTTTGCATTTGGTATGAATTAACATTAGTGGTTAATGAGAAATTCGAACAAACTCCAATCCAGCACCTTTTGGAAGTTATTTCAATCCTGCAGTCTAGCTGTGGGGTATGCCTGCAAGAGACATTTATGGAATCTGCGTGCTGAACACCAAAGCCAGGCTTGTTAGAGTTTATGCACATCACAGGCTCGAACTTCCCCGAGAGCAAGTGTGGTCAGGTTAGCATAAGGGTTCTGATGAAAAGCCAGCTACATTCTTACAACCAGCACTAGTTTGTCTTTCTTCCCCCGAGAAAGTATGCAGGCCTACTCACAAATTGCTACCTGCATGTGCAAGATGCTGCCGCATCCTTGGAGTGACACTGGATGTGGATGTGCGTGGGGGGCAGAAGGGACAGTAAAGACAGTGGCAACAGGCAAAGCTACCCTCTCCTATTTCTTTCAGAAGATGAAGCTTCTGATTCTTCTTGCTCAGTATGTCCCACGCTTCTTGCTGAGTATGGCTGTTGAAGGGGGACTAAATTATTGATTATTATTCAGTTCTAAATACAACTGAAGAAGAAGCCGGTCCCTCTGAACATCATCATCTCATTCTCTCTGCTTCCACAATTACCCCTAAAATATATCCTGTGTTTTCAGACAGTTTCCGTTTTTTCCACCGAATAAGAAATTCAGCTCATTACCAGCTTCCTCATGTAGCCCAAAACCATGGGGTGTGATTAAATAAAACCCATGAAATGTCCGTAGGTCAAGTGGCTTAATTTGGGCTGACATTTACTCTCATGTCTGCATCCACTCAGGATCTGAGTGCTTTGTGTCCCAAGAAACACAGGTGCTTGTTCCTTCCAGTTCATAAACACTCCCAGTGGCATAATGCTCTATTTGATCTCCCAAAGAGACTTCCACAAATAGCCAGTGTATACTGGCTTACAAGAAGGTAGCGACGCCACTGGAACCTACTTTCTGAATCCATCACTGTCTGCATGAGATCTATGCAATGGCATATTTTACACACACACACCCAAAATCAGCCATAACTAAAACGAAACTGATGCATTTGGGGCAAAGAAGGCACATGTACCTTGAGTAAATTAGTGATTCTAGAAGCCTGTGAAGAGAGAGAAGTGAGGGCATTCCAAAGCAAACATCTTTGAATTTAAGAGAAAGGAGAAAAGGAGGTGTTCTTTTCCCATGCATTTCTCTCTTCCCTCCATTAATCATGGGTTCTGAAATGTGAAGAATTACAGTAGGGTCTGTAGAACCATGCCTGTGGTTCCAGAAAAGAAAAGTTGATGGCTCTTCAGAGAAATGTGATGTTTCCAGGGGCCTTCTCTTGAAACCTGTGGTCAGTCTTGAGGGAGAGATGGACTCTGTACAGAAAATTCTTTCCAGATAGAAGTTATCTGGAGAACGCTTTTATTTCTGAGTCTCCCCCTACCTGACCCCCTACCCAAAAATCTAAGAAGACAATGATGACCATAAGACACACACTTATTTCCAACACCAAAAAGCATCTACGCATTTTGACCTGTATCAATGTCAGCTGAAGTTTGACTGGATGAGAAAATACTGATAAAGTATCCCTTTTGAAATCTGAACACCCTGGATTTCAGGGTAAGAACTTATAGAATGACCTAAGAACTAAAGCCCTATTTATTTTACTAGATAACATGTGACTACTAGTAAAGTATGAATTACTAGTTGTCAAAGATGTTGCTTAGCAGTTAGGAACGTAAATCCCCAAATATAATCATGAGAGATCTGAATTCAGGGTAACCTTGGGCCAAGCACCTACATTTTTAACCAAGGTTTCCAACTTAATGGAATTTTCAAAACTTAAGAGAGTTTTTGTAACCCATACGCAGATTTCAAGGAAAAAGTCGTACATGACTGACATGTAAATAAGCAATCTTTTTTATTTTTTATTTATTTATTATTTTTTATTTATTTATTTTTTTGAGAAAGAGTTTCGCTCTGTCGCCCAGGCTGGAGTGCAGTGGCGCGATCTCAGCTCACTGCGAGCTCCGCCTTCCGGGTTACACCATTCTCCTGCCTCAGCCTCCGGAGTAGCTGGGACTACAAGCGCCCGCCACCACGCCCGGCTAATTTTTTGTTTTTTTTTTAGTAGAGACGAGGTTTCACCATGTTAGCCAGGATGGTGTCTATCTCCTGACCTCGTGATCTGTCCGCCTCGGCCTCCCAAAGCGCTGGGATTACAGGCGTGAGCCACTGCGCCCAGCCAGCAATCAATCTTAACATGAGAACTGATTTTAAATTGGTATGGCATCCAGAAACTTTATGATTTGTTCTGCCATTTTTAGAATACTAAATGCTCACTTGTCTTTAAGATCTTATCTAGAGCTATCATATTAAGTTTAGGACTATTCCTCTACCTGAAGTTAAAATAGAATATATTTGTTCTAAAAATGTTAGTGTTAATGGGTTGCTATAGAAATTTTTAAAAGGTTAGAAATGTTTATACTCAAAAACTGCAACCAGGTAGATTATTTTTCTCCCGTAATAAGCACATAGACTTGAAATGTGAATTTTTTTCACAAGCACAAGATAAGAGAAAATGAGTATCTCTAAAATAAAAAAATAAAATCATTGAAAAATAAAAATGAGAGAAACAAGCTCTCCAATTCAAGTAACTGAAATGGACACAATTCTTCCTTGCTGTTTCACTTCAAGGAGTCCCAAGCGGTACAATGCTTTGCTTTCCTGCATTTTACTTCTCAAACTTTCTTCCTGCACTAGACCTTCTGGAGTCTGCCCTTCTTGCCTTCTTCTTCCATCCTTTTTGGAATTCGACACTTTTTCCTTTGCATCCAGCATGGAGAACTACAACATAGTTGTTTCCGTTGATTGTACTTAATTCTTTTATCATGCCCTCTTAGCTGCCTCCCAGCTCCCATTTTTTAAACAACAGAAGAGAAATGTGCCTCACACATAAATAATCTGTTAACTGTGACTCAAGTGGGAGCAACAGAAGCAGACTTCTCCAGGCAAGCACGCACACATGGGCCAGCATCTGGGACAGGCAGCTTGCGCTTACCTTTGCCTGCAGTGCTACTTGTGTGAACTACCACCTTCATCACCACCAAGGGACTGCTCAAATTCTCCTGTTTCCTCCCTAGACATGCCCTTCAATAGATATTAAGATAATTTTTAAACTATTTTTCAGATGCTCAAAATGTTATTGAGGAAAGACCCCCGTTATGTAATTCCAAGATGGTGCACTGAATGACAGCTTCCCATTCCTCCCTCACTGTCTATCTTCTCCAAAAAGTATAAGTGAAAGTGGTAACCTGAGTTTAAACTCATGTGCAGACTACTGGGTGCAAAGCAGATACCCAGTAAAAACTTACTCTACTTTGTCCAAATTCCCTATCTCCACACCTAACTCACTATTACAGTTATTCAGGGATGCCTACAGAGTTCTGCGGAGTTAACTGAAAGGGAATAGAGTAGATATTTAGGTTCCCTCTTTTAACCAAAATCATCACTGGGAATTTTGGTAAATGCCACATGTAAAAGTTTTAAATTTGTCATTTCTGTACTTGCTGTCAAGTTGTAACTCTCAACAAAGTTTTTCTTGAGGGAAAAGGGCTATCTCCCTTTATAAAACTCTGTTTAATTCTAATAACTTTTTACTCTTGATCTTGAAACTCATTTGGCCAGAACTGGAAGGATTGTCACCCTAAAATAACTTGCATTTAAAACAGTTAAACAGTAAAATGCAAAAGAGTTAAAATTTTGATGTATTCCTGTAGAGTTTGTAATTTGAACACACTTCCACATCTCTGTAATTAGAGCAGAAATTAGCATTTGGCTGTGCCCAAGGGAAAGAGAGAAACAGGGAGAAAAAGAGAAGCATTTTTTATCATTATTGGTTTGTTGTACACTTCACCTGTGCTTTTAAAATGTAAGCAACATTTAATCTTCAAAATGAAAAAAAAAAAAAGACAAATTTTTCTAATGCCAAGATTAAAATACTTGTAAAATAAAATGTTAGTGTGAAATGGGACTCTTTTTTACATCAAAAAGGAAACATTTTAGACTTGCTTTTCTTCTGTAAATCCTCCCATCTCACTAATATTTACAACAATCCAGAGTAGCATTTATGAGACACCGAAAAAGGGAGGAAATCCTTTTTCAAGATATGAAGTCAGAACCTGAATGTAGACGTTGGACACAGAAGTCCTCAACCACAAACCTGTCCTCTAGCTCTAGAGGGAGTAAGGCTGTATTACCAACCTTGAGATTTTTCATTACATTTTCCCCTTATTGGATGTTAAATTCTTTCCAAGAATGTTCTACTTGTAAAAATGATTTTATTCTAGCTACAAAACATTTCATTTAAGAAAACCACATTTTATATCCTTGTGTGAAATGCTGCCAAAAGCCATCAAGATATGGAGACATCAGATTTTAAAAACATAAATCTAATTATATGCCCTTGAAACAGTATGAACATTTAACAGAGTGACATGATATCATTATTACATTTGTTTGTCATGAGATGAAAGGCCTGGAGGCAGATGGTGATTAACAATAGTTCCTGAGCTTCTAAAGAAATTTTAAAATGAAATGACTAACTGCTTAAAATAATGAATTCTTCAAGAACGCCCCTTCTGTTTCATTGATGTCTTTCATCCCATCTATCTCCTTAAAGAATCTCAGGCAGAAAAAAAAAAGCGGGGGGCTTCTTTTAAGCCACTGAAAAATGGGATCTGATGGAATCTTCCCGTAATTCCCGATGTTTTCCAAGGTTACTTTCTTCTTGCTGGTTTCGCCTCTCAATGGTTATTCTGTATTTCTTCCTGGGTAAAGGGAAAGTGAATGTCGTAATAAAACTTGCTACAAAATACCACGGTTTCTCTTACAAAGAGTGCCCTCAAGGGACATCTGGGTTTGAGTTGATAAATGAGAAGTGACAGAATATGAAACCCTGGTCAGAGATTAAAGTAGTGTGCCCCCAGGCGTGATGCCCTTATTCAAGAGAGAAAATTGGCATGCTTTTCCAAATACCACAGAACAAGGCTTCCCCTTCTTCCCTGGGTGCCTTGGGGGTTAGGTCTTGTCTATTTGGCTACAGAAGTTCTCCCTGACTCCCAGGATATGCCCTAGATAAAAATCAAATTACGGGTACTGTGGCCAAAGGAACAGGAATACAATGTTCCCACAAAGGGTCACATAGGCCTAGTTACAATCCCATGCAGAAATAAAGAAACCTTGCTCTAATGACTTATGAATAAACCACAAACTCAACCACCAAAGATTACAAAGGAATGGACCACCCTTACGGGGCAGAACGATTGGTACCTTGAACACACATACATTACTACAATTTTGCAAGCCTTGGAGCTTAACCACAGTGGCAGATGAGCATGTGGGCTCTCCAGATACTGAGCACAGATCAGCCTGAGAGCATGGGCTACGCAAAGCTCCCTCCTCCTCTTTAAGGTGAGCCCCAGCACCTAATTCTGAATTGGAGAAAGCCTGAGAAGGGAGAAGTTTATTTCCCCCTTTATCCAGATTCCCTCCCCAACTGCTTCACTTGGTGGGTGGTAGGAATTCTTGTCAGAATATCTGTGATCAAAGGGTTGGACACAGTGGCTCACACCTGTAATCCCAGCACTTTGGGAGGCCAAGGTGGACGAATCACTTGAGGTCAGGAGTTCAAGACCAGCCTAGTCAACATGGTGAAATCCCGTCTCCACTAAAACTACAAAAAATTAGCCAGCCAAGGTGGCCTGCACCTGTAGTCCCAGCTACTCGTGAGGCTGAGGCAGGAGAATTGCTTGAACCCAGGAGGTGGAGGTTGCAGTGAACAGAGATCGTGCCACTGCACTCCAGCCTGGGTAACAGAACAAGTGAGACTCCGTCTCAAAAAAATAAAAAATAAAAAATAAAAATCTGTGATCAAAGGGCAGCAGCAGCTCTCTGTCCCACAGTGAGACGTAATTGAAACCCATGACCCCAGCACCCAGTATGCTAAACCACTGACCACCAAACCTAGAGTAACACCAAAAGAATGGCTCAGATTTTTTAACCACTGTGCTTCCTGGTTGAAAGGAGGATGTGGACAAGTCACAAAGAGAATCAAGCAAAAACAAATGACAAAGACAGTAGAAGAGAGTGAATTGTACCTTTACAAACGGTCCTCACCTGAAAAAGTAGAAGGCCATTAGCAAGCCAGCTCCTAGTAAGGCCCCCACAACAATTCCTGTCACCGCCGATTCTTCTAGGCCACCTGCTTGAAAAAGAAGCATAGATAACCAGGGTTCATTTTGAGATACAGTTAGAAATGCCTCGAGTTTCATTCATTGCAAGATGTCCCTCGATTTCCCACTGGAGGCAACTTTTCCTTTTTCAGAAATATTTTCTAAGGGAGAGTACACTTGTTTTTTGTTTTATGTTTTTGTTTGCTTTTGCCTAGTGCAAAGCTTAAGAACCATTTGAGAAAGTGCTAGATAAACAAGCACACTATTAAGAGTGTGGACACAATGAGAACAGAAGAAAATTCAAGAATCAGAGGAAAACTGGAAGTGAAGAATTCAGATATAGCCACTCTCTTTTGAGTTTAAAGTCAAAGACTTGGGAGGCCAAGGTGGGTGGATCACCTGAGGTCAGGAGTTAGAGACCAGCCTGGTCAACATGGTGAAACCCCATCTCTACTAAAAATACAAAAATTAGCTGAGTGTGGTGGCAGGCACCTGTAATCCCAGCTACTCAGGAGGCTGAGGCAGGAGAATCACTTGAACCCGGAAGGTGGAGATTGCAACGTGCCGAGATTGCACCACTGCACACCAGCCTGGGTGACAGAGCAAGACTGCATCTCAAAAATAAATAAATAAATAAACAAAGTCAAAGAAGACAACCAGATGGACCAGGGCACTGACCCAGGGCTTCTTATTTTCACAGATGGATGGTGACACTTCAAAGTGCTAGAAGATTTGATGAAAAATTCATTGGGTCAATGTTCTGTTTTTAGATGTTCTCTCACCAAAGCCAAAGTTTCATGTCAAAATGTCCTACACAGCTTTGTGAAAATGTGGATAACACTTTGAAACAATCAAGTTCAGTGGTGTCCTAGTTATAGAAAAATGATAAATAGCTAGCTTGTATCTAGAGTTTAGTATGCAGCCTTCGATGCGTCATCTTGTGTAATCCTCAAAACAGTCCTAAGCTTTGGGCACTTTTCTTTCTCTTTACACATTGGAAAACTGCTTAAAAAGCTGAAGGAACACTCCTAGGGTCACAAAACCAGCAAGTAACAACAGTGAGATTTCAAATACAGGCCCAATCTCCCCAGTGTGTTCTTAACACACTTCCTCCTTAATTTCTTCCTGTAATTATTGCATAGACATAAATACCTAACAGTTTAAAAGATGCTTTCAAAAGCACACATATATTAGCCTAAAATGATCAACTGGCCTCCTGAAAGACCTATATTCACTTTGTTCTCCCTCACTACCTTATTCTCTAAAACAATGATTTCTAACAACTTTCCTATTTGTAAGCTACTTATGAGGACATCCACTTGCTTCTCTACTTGTATACAAAGCTGCTCATAAGTAATACATCTTACACTTATTTGCCAATGTGTGAATGTTCAGATGTTTAAGGGATGTTATCTCTTTGGTTCTGAGGAGCTAGAAAGTAACCACAAACTTGGAAAATCAGAACGAGACTTGCTATGAGAGATGAATAAGCAAGTGATATTTACTAATTGATATTTTGATTTTCTCTAAAAGTGGAAACACGACCTAGCCAAGAGATTATAGTAAGAGATGTAAAAATAGGGAGAAACATTCTACCATTGTGGAAGAGAAGGCTGGAAGGGAAAGAAGACCTGAATGCCTCTGCTAAAGGCAAGATGCCAGTTTGTGAACTGTTCCCTCTGATGTTTTACCACATCAGAGAAAGAAATGTAAACTTCCAAAATGTAAGCCCTAGAAACACTTAAGTTTCAAACTTACATTACGCTGAGGTTAGAGGTGATGACATACACAGCAAATTAAGTCTCTAGACTTACATGATTTGCAGGGAGAGCTGTTTGTGTGCTCTACAATTCGGTTTTCATCTATTCTCAGTTTTAAAGGGCCCCAAGGATATTTGACATTCGGCCGCATTTCAAAACGACCTTCTTTTCCAAAGTAATCACCAATAACCTATATAGAGGCAAAAAAACAAATAGACAAACCGAAAGGTCAAAGGAGGCACAAAGCTCGCAGCCTTCCACAGCTATTCCCCCAAAATGCACAGCCTGATCTAAACTGAATGCCTCTGGGCATTTCATCAAATCACTGTCTCCAGGGCAAGGACAGCAAGTGCTTCAGAAAAGCGCGGTACATTGGGCAGGTTCCTCGGTTGTCCACACTGATGGTCATTGTGTGTTCTGGGGACTTTGTAAGTCAAGATTTGAAGTCACTAATGGTGCTCTCAAGAGGGCATTAAGAGCGGGCGTGCCAGAGCAGAAGGAGGTGGGAAGTGCTGAGAGTGGTGCCCCCGGGCCCTGCCTTCACTGAAGGCCCAGCCCTGTCAGCGCTGCCCCTAGGATTCTCCAGTCACTACCACCTAGTGGAAAGGAATAATCTTGGAATTCCTGGCTTTTGCTTTGTTCATCGGACAGGGCACTGTCCCACCCACCTGTCCCAGAGCAGCCCACCCCGTCAGCCAATTGTAAGGCCCAAGTTACTTTCAGGGACATGTGAAGGACAGCCAGGGTCCACTGTATACCCAATTTAAGCGTATGACAGGTACCCAGCCTCACAGCCCTCAATTGTTCAACATATAATGAAAGAGCGTCTTTCAGGAACCTCCTGTTTCACCACTTCCGGTTGCCAGACTTCCTTCAAGAGTTGCACTCTCCTCTCTGATGAATCCACCCCCATTTCCAGGCTGAATTCTCTTTCTCTTAGTTGGCTCCTCTGGCCCCTGGAAAATCGCTATTCTGTTATGGTTTGATTCCATGGTTATCCCTCAGTTTCTGGTTAAAACGATTGTTTGATCGGTTCCCCAAGCCCCACTCTAGAAGTGCCTTCCCACCCAGGTTCTCGGGAGTCATTGCTCTTTTGTCTGAAAACAAGCATATGGCTCCCGAGTGGCTGGGGACATCTCCTCCCCTTCTCCTGACCGAGGTGCAGCAGGTTCTCACAGGCCACGTCAGGTCTAGAGGAAGCCTAGATTGCCACCAAAATATAACAATCACTGGCGTGTACTGGGCACTTGCCAACGGCTTTATACACCTTCACCCTTGCAACCTCACAATGGACTCTGATGAACTGTCGCTACCCACCTTTCCCAGGGGGGGAGCCAGGAATACAGATGAGACACAGACCACTCAGTGGGCAAAAAAATCATTCATTAAACATAGCGAGGGTGACTCCTGCTGCTTCAGAACTTCCCACAAGAGCCAGGCATCTATTAGGTTGGTGCAAAAGTAATTGAGGTTTTGGCCATTAAAACTAAATAATTAAAAATAATGGCAAAAGCCGCATTACTTTTGCACCAACCTGATACATATAAAGAGGAAATCAGCAAGTCCCATATGCCAGGTCCCATGAAGGGCACCAGAGCGATGACCCTGGGAGCCAGCGATCAAGGAAACCGAGGAAGTGGCATTCTTTGCTGAAGCACTGCATATTTGTGTAATTGTATACGTATATTTGTAATTTAAAATGTAGATAGTACTTTTCTAGGTTTCATTTGATCTGTCCCCATAACAATAATCATGTGACATCAGCCAGGAAGACATGATGATTTCCATATTACAGATGAGGAAACTGAGGCAGAGTTCACACTCCCAAGCACAGAAGACTCATCTTTGTGTCCGGGGCACTCTTTTTCTCTTCACGATGTTATCCTGAAACTACATCATCTTTGGAAATGTGAACACACGTTGAGTTTGCAACCACCCACCCTCCCACTCCCCCAGAAAACTCAAATCTTAAGGGAGGAAACTTAGTTTCACTTTACTGATTTCACCCCAACACCCTCATCCATAAGACTAAGGTGTGATTCTTCGCCACTTGAAGGGTAGGATTTCCTCACTTAGAATAAACATGAAACCATCTCCTGAAGTCTTTCTTGATACCCTCAATCAAAAGTTGAGGTTTTTCAACTCATTTTTATTTGGAAGCTGCATTGGAGACAGCTCTTTGGCCACCAGAACAAATGCATTCCTCAGAGTCCCCACGAGCAGAAGGAGCAACTGGTACAGAGTTCTCACGTGCTCACCTCCTGGGTGCCCGCCTCCACATCAGTCATGGCAATCACAGAGAAATCCCCATATCGGTCTCCATTGGCATCTATGGACACCTGCCCGGCGATACCTACAGGACCAGAAGCGAAGAACTCAACGTTGGTTACTTAAAATACCTCTGTCTGCCAACAAAAACAAGAGAATGAATTGGCAGGATTTTTTAAACAAACTCATGCCACAGGGAATCTCATCAGACTCTGAGCATTTTTGTTGGCATTTTGGAAAAACATTGTAATTTCATCTGCGTCTGCATTCCTAAATTCTTAACATTTCTCCATTTAAAAATGAAAAGAAAAAGAAATAAATGATCTTCTTTGGGGAATATGTTTGAAAAAAAGATTAAGGCTAATCCTGAAAGCAGCGTGCTTATCCCAGAGTTTTGTATTAATTTTTTTTTAATTGCAGAGTTAGAAGTGGAGGTAGGGTACATTTATAGATTTGCCATGGGTTTGCGTTATCATTGGACGAACACTATAAAAGAAAAATCATTCCAGGGCCAGGACTCAGTGAATGTGCTTTTTTCCAGGCTGCTTTAATACACAGGAGAGCAGCGGGCCTGCTTTGTGGGTCACCGGGGCCAATAGCTAAGAAAAGCTATTCTTCTTTATCCTGGTTGAGTTCTTCGCTGATTGTTTATCCAAACATTCTCTGGACGCTTAGTACTGAATTAGTGCCGCAGCTGAGGCAAAGATGAATTGAACACATTCTGCTCTAGAGAGGGGCAGCCTGGACTGGGGATTTAGCTTGTTCACACCAGAATCTAACCACTTGCATTCAAATACCAGTTTCTACATTTACATAGCTCCATGACTTTGGACAAGGAACTTAGCCCTCCAAGCCTCAGTCTCCACAACTGTAAAATGGGCATAATAGTACCTCCCTACTAAGAGGCCATGGAGAAGATTAAATGACATAAAACAAATAAAGCACTTTCAGCACATTTAAGGGAAGTTAATTGTTTTCATCTACTGTCATTATTACTATCACTATTATTACTACTATTTATTTTATAATTACTCTTGGTAGAGAAGACCTGACTGTGCCCACATCACTCAGAGGAGGAGCCAGCACATCAAGCTGGAGAATCAGGGAGGACTCAGTGAAAGAGCAGGAATTTTATAGGGATGTTGGAGGAAGTCTGAGATTGGGCAAGCAGTAATCAAGAAGTGGGAGAGAGGCTGAAAGGCTGGCCTAGGTGTATCTACCAAGGCACAGAGGCCCAAAGAGACCAGAGGAATTGTGAGATTTCTGGGAAGATGGCCCATGTGGACAAAGGGAGTCAGTGACATATAAGGCTGGAACCGGGTGGCCACAGAATGGAGGGCCTTGGGTATCCACTTGCTTTGGCCTATAATGGTGGCTCAGAGCAGCTAATCAATAAAACAAATATATGTTATTGGCTGATATTAAATATGTCTGTGTCACAATTCTCATTCACTGAATAAGAGATTGCATACATCAGCCCCATTTTTATTAACTAAAGTTATTTCCTTTTCAGCTGGGGAGAGTTTGGTGTAATTCTTAATTGGCCTTTCTATTGATTTGGTTCTCTGATTTGGTTCTCTCTGGAAGTACAGACTCCTCTAGTAAAATGAATGTCTGGGAAAAAGGATCCCAAGGGAAAGTTCCATCCTCTAGTGTGGCTTGGAGAGGGCAGGTATTTAGGTTTACTGTCCTTTGGGTTGTGGTTTGAAGGCCCACTGATTTTTCCAGACTTTGGTCTACTTTACCAGAAACAGAATGGAAGCTACCATTCACTTTGATTTTTTTTTGTCTTCTTAATATAGACTGGTTACAAAGGGTACACCTACCATAAACTTGTGTATCCTTGAGAGCCTATAAAACTCTTAAGTGATAAATAGGCTTAAAATATATAGCTATTGGCCATCCAAAACCATTTGTCATTCTGTTGAGAGGTGTTTGTGATGTTGTGTCCTGCTAAGTATTTTGCAGAGCATTTTATAAGATGAGGTGGCCCTAGTAATTTAAGACCTATTGTACCTTTAAGCTATTGCAATTCTGCCAAGAAATGGGGTGAGAATCCTCAGGGTGGCCAATTAACAAAGTGAGACTTCACCTGAGAGTATCGTACATAAGGTGAGATTGTCAGGCTTACAGCAGAATTTTCCTGTACATAAGTAATGAGACTTTCCACCCCATTTCTATTTGGCTGTAGTGGAGCTCAAAGTTTAAGCCACAGTCCTATTTACCTTGTCACTCTGACCTCTCACACAGAGGAAATCCAGCTTCTTCCCAGGCCATTTATTGAAATGAGAGTTGATCACAGGTTTCATGGCAATAAAAGCCAAATTTGTCAAATCACAGCCAGAGTATTTTTCCCTTGACAACTTAATGGTCACCGAATGGTGACCAATAAAGTTATAATTGTTTTTAATTTTAGGAAGGTTTGGGTTTTTCTTCATACAGATACCTTAGAGTTCTTTTTAGGCCTACCCTCAGACGGACCATTGTTTAGCAAATAAAATGGGCTCTCCAAGCAATTCAAGCCGAAAACTTACCTTGGCCTCAATTATCTTTACATTTGACCAAATGAGATTCTAATTGTAGACTGAACTACACAGTTGATTGTTTCAGGACACATTTCATATTGCCTGTGTAGACCTGGCCTTAGAATACAGACATCAAGATAGCCTATGGGAAAACTGAGCCCATGCCCTGGCTCTAACCAAAATACATTCCAGCTATCATGGGCACCTACCCTCCCCTTCACACCCTCCCTCAGTGGTGCCCTCCAGCATCCCCCAACTCTGGCTCCTGTCCCTCTGTCAGAAGACCAAGAACAAATGACCACACCACGTGGTGAGTAATAGCTAAGAATGGGATGTGGCCGACCAAGGTCGTGTCCACAGATGCCAGGTTCTCAGTGTATTGTGCAAAACTTCTGGGAAATTTGGCTCTGTCCTAATATGCCCCCGGAATTATCCTGTTGGATTCCAGCTCCTCAACTGAAGCAGTCAGAGGTAAAATAAGATAATCCCGGATGTGTACTCACCCATGAACTACAATCTGTCTAATGCTAAGGGAGATGTCACTCCAGTTCTGAGTAAGACATGGCATCCACTAGAGAGAAATGAAATCTACCAATTGCCACCATAGACACTGCCCAGACAACTCTAGATGGAGCTCAACCTCTCCCTACTGTCCTGTCCTGCCCTTTCTAAGAACTGAGGACAAACCGAGGGACAGAAGTCCCAACTGAAAAAAAAAATGTGCCCCAAATCTAAACTTGGCAGTATTTGCTCCTGCCATTGAAAAATGTCACTAGTGTGATTACAAATAGATATAGGCATACCCCAGTGCATTACAGGGCTCAAAGGAAGAGCAAGCACTATGTAAAACTGAAAGAGCTCTTTTCAGTCATTAACTAGACCAACCTCCTTATCATACAGGTGAAGAAACAGAAGCTCAGAGGACAAGGTTACTAGTTAGTGGCTAGGATGCACTGAAACCTGGTTCAGCGATTTGTACTTTATGTACCCGGTTGTCAAGTGATACCCATAAGCGTATCTACTTTATTTCCCACATAGCAGCCATAAGGACCCCTTTTAACACACAAGGCAGATCGTGTCACTCAAAAGCCTCAGGTGACTTTCTGTCTCACCCAGGTGGAGCCCAAAGACCTCAGCAAGGCTTGCAGGTCCGCATCATCTGGCCCCATTACCTCTCAGGCTTTGGCACCTATCACACTGCCTGTCACACTTGGTGTCAGCCACATTAGCCATCTTGCTCTCTCTGGGGACACTCCACAGTCTCCCACATGCACTCAGGATCTCCACGTTTACCACTCCCTCTGGAATGCTCTCTCCTAAACAGCTACAGAGCTTCCCTCACTTCCCTTGGGTCTCTACTCAACTTCACTCTCACAGAGACCTTCCCTGACCACTCTAAACTAGCAGTCCCACTCCTCCTTGCCTGGCATTTTCTAGCTCCCTATCCTACCTTATTTTATAGCTCTGAAAGGTATACTGTATTCATTGTTTGTTGCCTGTTCCCCCCACTGGCATGTAAGCTCAACTGATTGCATGAAATGTCTTTAGTTCACTGCTGAATCCTCAGCACCTTGAACAGCACCTGGTACATAGTAGGTGCTCAATGAACATTTGTTGAATGAATAAATGAATATAGAGTTGATATCTGCAAGGCTCCAGTAGTGAGGTCACTTCCATATTGAGTTTCATGTTCATTTTCTTTGAGTGTTGGTGAGGTGAGAGGAAACTAGCACTCTTAAATACACTGTTAGCAAGAATATAGATTAGCAGAACTTTCTGGAAGCTTTTTGGCAATTTCTAATGCACTTTAAAAAGCACCAACATACTTTTGGACCCAGAAATCCCACAAGTAGGAATGTTCCCTGTTGGAAGGACTCACAAAATTTCTTCAGGATGTGCAAGAGGCTTGTGACAGCATATTGCATAATAGCAAAAATTATAAACAACTTTACAAGTGTCCATCAATAGGAGATTGGTTAAAGAAATTCCTGTACAGCCATACAGTAGAAAAATATGTAACTGTCATTTAAAAATGTGTTGGATCAGTGAGTTCTCATATGGAAAATTCTTTAACTTGACATACAAGTAAAACACCTAAGATGAAAAATAGCATTCATACTATGAGCCCTTTCATGCAAATTTTAAGATATACAAATGCATATGTGCTGACAGAAGACTTAAAATATTTGTGGACAGAATCATAGGAAATCGTTAATAGTGATTCACAGTGGGGAGAGGGGACTAGGTTGGGAAGGAAAAATTTCAGCTCTCAATTTGTACATTTTTGTACTGTTTAAATTTCCTAGCCAAGCATAGTCTTATCTTGTACTATTTTTCAGTGCCAACAGAGGTTGCTTGAGATGGGATTATGGGCCATTTTTTGTTGTTTTCCTATACTTCCCTGTTATTAAGAAAGCTGGGGAGGCCAAGGCAAGTGGATCACCTGAAGTCAGGAGTTTGAGATCAACCTGGCCAATATGGTAAAACCCTGTCTCTACTAAAAAATACAAAAATTATCCAGGTGTGGTGGTGAGTGCCTGTAAACCCAGCTACTCAGGACGCTGAGGCAGGACAACCATTTAAAACTAGTAGGTGGAGGTTGCAGTGAGCCGAGATCGTGCCACTGAACTCCAGCCTGGGCAACAAGAGCAAAAACTCCATCTCAAAAAAACGAAAAACAAAAACCAAAAAAACACAGGGCTTGACTGGACCTGCTAATCATCTCAAACCAACAGGTTTAACTGTGACAGTTAATGTTTTCTGCGTTTCACAAAAACCAACATAGTCTGAACACATGAATGTATATCTGGGATTAATACTGGTTTTAAAATCATCATAAAACTCTTCACAAACTGATTGTCCTGTCATGCATGAGGCTTGTGTTCAATGCGATATTAAGAAGCATAGAGCTGTTACCTAAGCAATCAGGAGACAAGGCCTTTCCTCTTTCAGTGGGGCTTTTTCAAAGCACTTTCACATGTATTAACTCATTTAATTGGCACAACAAGCCTATGAGATGGGCCGCTTTACAGCTGAGAAAAGCAAGAAGCTGGAAAGGCCTCACAGCTGCAACTGTGAAAACCAGAACCAGAAAATCAGCAGCTCAATTGGCCCCATGTCATTGCCTTATAGATGGAATCCCCACCTTCAAATGTTCTGTTCCAAGTCTGCTGTATAATTTTCCCTCCATCCTTTTTGCTGTAACCAGCTCTGAGTACTTCATGTAGAGCCAAGACGTAGAGGAGGATGGCATCGTGGAATCCTTCAACAAACATGTTAACCTGAAAAGAAAACCCCAGATGCGTGAGCCAAAACACCACATGACTCATGTCAGGAATAAGATGAGCAATCCAAAGGGTTAACAAGTTAGACCTGAGGTCTGTTAGCCATGGCAGAGGTGGGCAGAAGGGGCACTAACAAGAATCATGCCATGACTTTCCTGGCATGGCTCAGAGGGGAAAGCCCTTCCCCAGTTGGGGAATTTGGAAAGCCTATTACAGAAGTCAAGAAAACTGTACCTGTTGGCCAGGTCAAGAATTTCAAGTGTGCCCACCTTTGCCAACGGTCCCTTTTGGACAAGTCCCCGCCTCCTTCCCCACATCTGCCTCTATCTCAAGCTTATGTGAGTTCAGCCTCCCCCTTGAGGTCTTCTCCATCTTCAACAGCCCCATGATCTCTTCATGCTCTGAATGTGGAGCATAACGAAAGAACAGTAGAGATCCATTCATTTATATTTAACAACTGTTGATACCTACTAAAGTGCTGGTGCTATGAGTGCAAAGAAGAGTAGATGCTGCAACTTCTGCCTGTCTGCCTAGCATTTGTGTCCTCTCTCCCATTAGTAAAAATGTCTTAGTCTCTCTTTCCAATTTGTGTTTTGAGTACATCTAACCACTCCCTATCCCTACTCCCTGCCAAGCTCCAAGGACAGGAATGGAAAACAGGCTTGGACTGTTGGTATATCCCAGTTGAGCCCTGACTCAAGTAAGCTAACCCTTGCCCTCAGGAAACTTAAAAGTTTCCTAAACATAGACACTGGTCATGTGGACTTGGGGAAGTCACTTCTATTTGAGCTTTGCTCTTTTCATCTATATATTGACCATGAGACTAATGCCTGCTTCAAGAGGTAGTTGCAAGAAGTCTGTTAAATAAAATGCTTGGTATTATCATGCCTGGCACATATCAAATTCCCAACTAACAGAAGCCAATGCTATCATGATATTTTATGGGCTTTAAAGTGTTGGAGTCTGTGCTGTCTTCAAGGTCTGTTCAGAATACAGTACAAATACCAAAATGGGAGTGGTCAGTCTGATGGGTTGGAGAAGGGCGGGAAAGAGAGGCTTAACAGCAGTGAAAAAAGTTGAACTGAGTTTTGAAGATGAAGAGATGTTTCTCAGGTGGGGGCAAAGACACAGAGTCAGGGCACATTCTGACAGCCTGGTGTATTTTGGGAAGTGCAAATGTTTTGCTAGGCTGGGAGCAAGAGAAACAGGGTCACACCAAGATGGAGAGGTAAGGAGGCTGACGAGGTAAGGAGAGTCAGATCATCGACAATCTGGAGACCACACTGAGGAACCTGGACTGTCTTCAGCAGGCATCTAATCACTTTAGTTCACCCCTTACCTACATTAAAAGCAACCTTTGATAAATTCTAGTACCACATTTAAACCCATTATAACATTCATTGGATATGAAATGAGCAGATTCTATCTTGAAACACCAAGAGGCTTACAAACAAACTCTGTACAAAAAGTACAAAAAATCCAAGCCTTCTCATTTCAGAAGAAAGTGTCAAAGACAAAATGCCAATGATGCAAAATGAACTGGGCATTCTGTAGATAGCCATCTGGCATGGCTTAGTGGGGAAACCCCACTACCCGCCCCATCTCTAGAAGGAAACCTCGTGGGAAGACAGCTGCAACTGACCTTCTGCATCACCTGGTTCAGGTGCACAAACATTCACAAGATACAGCTCGGCAACTGGATCTACTTAACCTTATCCCACCCCTAGGATGGGAACTCCTGTTTGCATCCCAGAAGCAGATATTTCATGTTTACCAAAAACTAGTGCTGAGAAGCAGTTTAGCATCATGGTTAAATATCCTGGACCCCCCTTCCAGCTCTGCCACCTCCTAGTTGTGTTCTGGTTTCCTCATCTGAAAAATGAGAAAAATAACAGTACCTATCTCCTGGGGATGCCGTTAGGTTTAAACAAATGAAAAAATGTAGAAGACTTCAAAGAGTGTCTGACAGAGTCAGCATTCACTGTTAGCTTTTGGTGTTGTGATGCTCTAGAGATGGAGAATTATTAACCTAGAGATCCTGCTTAGTTTTAAATTCTTAACAGCAGTATTCAAAATATAAGTGATTTTCTTACAGGTATCATGTGTGTTATTGGCCCATTTTACACTCAGTGGGAGAGAAGGCTACTGTTCACGTTGTTTGTGCCCTAGACAGTAGACAGTTCTCTTTGTTCCACAACACCAAGCTCTTAATTCCACCCTAGTATGACAGGTGCAGTTCAAGTGGTCGTCTGCTGACCCTCTGCAAGAGGTGGAGAGTGGGAAAGACTGATGATTTGCAGGAGTTTGGAATTAGCTGGCTGGACACACAGTCCAGTCTTGGCCCTGATGGGTTACTTAATCTCTCTAATCTTCAGTTTCCTCATCTGTTAAGTAGGGGTTTAGTACCATCTCACCTCAGAGAGCTCTTCTGAGGATTGAGTGAACCAGTGCACGTAAAACACCGCAAACAGTTCCTAGGACCATGGAAGCAACTGACAGATTCTGACTCTTACTCCTAGCTGTCAAGCTTAAGTGTCAGAGTGAGTGATTATTTTCTCACGCAAAGAAAAATAATGTAGAAATAACATCTACAAGTCAAAAACAATTTTCTGCTCATTTGGCTATGCCAATTTGATTTTCCAAAGGAATATGAAATTTCCACTTAGGCCATGAAGTCATTATGGCTTGAGAAAGTCTTCATGCTGATGAATTTTTATAAGTGAACTTTAGCGGTATAATTTCATTCTCAGGCCACATTTTTTTAAAGTTTAAGGTCTATCTTCTCTTTGATAATTTTACAGAAGCCAGCCAGCTCCAGAGGAAAGTCAGAGAATCACAGAGTCATGGCCTGTGGGAGATGCCAGGTGCCCTCGGAAAGTTCTGATCAAATCCCCTTGTTACTTTGAAGACCTGAAGAGCATTGGTTGCTCTCCTCAGCCTTCCTGCATTCTGTCCTTGTTGTACAAGGGTTGTGCCCTGCAAGTTCCTTGTTCCTGCGGTTCCCAAGACAGGCCTTGCTTAAATTGTGACGCACCAGCCACCAGGCATCACCCATCCCCCTCTCATCCTCCTCCTTCCGTCGCCTCCTCGAAATCCTAACCCAGGACCACCATGTTGATGTTGATCACCGGAAGCACTGACTGTGCGCCCCATTACCATATCCTGTCTTGCCCTTCCCCTTCCTTCCTTCTTGACATGCCCTCTGAGCTGCCCCGCTACAATCCAGAATAGGAAGAAAGATTATGTGGTGGAGAACAATGAACTTGAGTTATGCTGAACTTGAGTTACTTTTGTCCTGGCAGGTTTGATGGTAGAAAGAAACAGGCCCTGAATACACACCCAGTTCTGAAAATGCATTCTAGCTTGATTTGCAAATGGATCGCAAAATATACATTCTTTCTTCTCAGGATGGCTGAGTGTCTCCCTCTCCTGCCAAAATTATCAGAAGAGCTGCTGACCCCGCTGAGGTTTGCTGGCACCCAGCCCACTGCGGGGGAGGTTTCCTAACACCTACCTCATAGAACCTCAAGCCAGAAGCAAAGCCCCAGAGACCGGCTTTTCTCGAGAACATTCTCACATCTACACGTGATTTTTAGTGGGAGGAAAGTCCATTAGCACATTGTAGACACTGAAAATTAGACGTGCAAATTAAGAAAAAAATAAGGGAGGAAAAAAAACCCAAGTATGAAGTTGGCTTAGGAACACTTCCTATTGGCCCTCCAGGCTGAAAGGAACAAGGTCAGCTGGTACGCCCCCTGCCTCTGGACAGAACAACCCTTGAACCTCAAAGTCCAAGTCCTGACCAACATAGGTCATGATGTTGTTAGCTATCACAGGTAAACAACTAGGATTCCCCCACGGAGCAACCTGTTCTAGTAATTAGCATCGTTATTGACAGGAAATTTCCCTTACCGTCATCAGCCATAAACCTTAACGAAGTTCCTACATGCAGCCATTTCTTCTCCTAGATGCTCGGAAAACTGGGAGAAGAGAACAATGTAGTTTCCAATCTCCACCAAACAGCACCACTGCTACCTACAAACAGGTAGACAGCTCTGTGCATGCAAGTTGCTAAGTTGTGACACGGGCCTCGCTGAAAGCCGTGCTCCAGGGTAATCATTATTGGTGCTGTTTATCGAATCAAGTGGCCTTCCAATGAGATGAAAAGCTTTCACCATCTTCCACTTATTCTTGCAAAAAGAAGATAGCATGACAAGAGGGCATAAACTCTCATTCCTTTCATTTCTATTTTCTCTCTTTCTTTCTCTTTTTTAAACAGAGTCTCACTTTGTCACCCAGGCTGGAGTACAGTGGTGCAATCTCAGCTCACTACAGCCTTGACCTACCCGGTTCAAGTGCTCCTCCTGCCTCAGCCCCACAAGTAGCTGGGATTACAGGTGTGCACCACCATGCCCGGTTAATTTTGTATTTTTTGTAGACACGTGGTTTCACCATGTTGCCCAGGCTGGTCTCAAACTGGAGCTCAAGTGACTTGCCCACCTCGGCCTCCCAAAGTGCTAGGATTACAGGCATGAGCCACCGCGCCAGGCCCGTCATCTCCGTTCTCTTGATTCTGTCCTCTGCAGCTGGCCAGAATGGAAGAACACTGTTTTTGCCCCGGCCTTCCTCTCTGATAGCACCTGCCAGCCACATTGATTTATTAGTGTTTTTTTAGATCCTCTATCATGGGGAGAGCTGAATAGAAATCATGTTGTTGCTGCTGTTTATTTTCTAACTGATCATAAAGTGTTGCTGCTCACAGCCTGGCTCCCAACCATGGCAGCGAGCCACGTCGCTCTCACTTCTCTCTGGAGACGCAAATTCATAGTCAGATGAATTCCTCAATGCCTGCATTCCAAACAAGTCAGCATAGAACGCTGCGGGCCTCAGCTGTTCTGTAAAGTGAGAGTGGTCTAGCTCTTGGGGTTGCTGGATATCTGAGAAAGGCTGTCAAGCTCTCAGACAGAGGCTGCTGGAAGAAAGTGACCGAGTTCAAT